TTGCCAAAATAAACTAATAAACATGGATAATATAAAATAATAATGTTTAGGCATCGATTTGGTTGCCAATATATTGTTAATATGAGAATCCTTTTATTAATCTCATGTTGATTCTTCTACTATGCATGAATTAAAGATATACAATTCATGCACCAAAAAATATAAAATTAATAAACACGTGCAATGAATCAAAACCGTTGATATAAAGTTTGTAATGATGATCTCATTAGTCAGCTCATAATTACTAAACAAAGTTGATTAATTAGGGGTCAAATAATTAAGAATTTATGATAATAATAATAATAATTGCACTATTGGAATTTAATAATTTTTCTTTTTAATTTTAATTTTCAGCACTAATTTAGCAATAGGAAAAAAGTAATAATTCCTCTTTCTTTTGTACCTTTTGGTAAAATAATGTCAAAAGAAAGTCAACAGCACAGGACCAAATTCACTCACTCTCTCTCTCTCTCTCTCTCTGTGTCGCCTATAAATAAGGAGCGCACACCACAACCCCATAAAGGCTGCAGCTTTCCGACCTGTCAAAAGGTAGACAAAATAAAAAAAAAAATTAAAAAAAAAAAATTAAAAAAAAAAGAAAAATCGACGAACGTTTCATTCGGAGATCAAACCAATTTTCCTTTGCCGGAAAACCTATCCACACCACCACCATTTTCCTGCGCATCTTTGCTTCAATTACCGATTCCTAACATACACACTTCTGCGTGTGTGTATATATATATATATACACGTAGAAGTTTTGTGTGGATATATATATATATATATATATATATATATATATATATATATATATATATGATGATATGATGGAACAGAAGCACGTGTTGCTGTCGGCATTGAGCGTAGGGGTAGGAGTGGGTCTAGGTCTGGTTTCCGGTTCCACGCTCGGCCGATGGACCGGCGCCGCCACTTCTGCGGGGGTCGCCGGCGGCGTATCCGCCGACGAATTGCAGCTGGAGCTTCTCAGATTGGTTGCAGATGCTAATAAGAACAAGGCTACTTTTGAGGACTTCCCATATTATCTCAGGTTAATTTAATTTACACAAAAAATAATTCATTTTTATCCAATTATTATTGAGGGCTTTTATTTTACTGTTACTGATTTCTTACAATTTTGTCTAACTTACCACCTCCGAAACCGGTTGAGCTATACCTATGCGGGCGATTTCTTACAATTTTATTCACTGGTTTTATATTCATAGAGCAAACTGTATATATATATTTATACATGTGTATATATATATATATATATATCATAGTAAAATGTACTAATAACAAATATAATTTTTGTTCTATCTTTTGACGAGCAGCGAAAGAACACGTGTGTTATTAACAAGTGCGGCATATGTTCATCTAAAACACTTAGATGTGTCCAAGCACACTCGGAATCTTTCTCCGGCGAGCCGAGCTATATTGCTCTCCGGGCCCGGAGGTAGCCGCTATATTTTATTTGTATTGCATATTTGTGTTTTAAATCTTATGTTTCCTGGTTTTTTCTTTTTTTTTTTTTTTTTTTTTTGTAATTGAATTTATTTAATTTTTTGTTTAATTTATAGAACTGTACCAGCAAATGCTTGCTAAGGCTCTAGCACATCACTTTGAAGCAAAGTTGCTAATCCTAGATGTAGCCGACTTTTCGTTTAAGGTGATCGATTATTTTTCATTTGTCGATTATGTTTTGATGTGTTTATCCCCTAGTTGCTGATTATTTTTTTTATTTTTTTTTTGTAAATATTTACGGTCAATAATCGACAGATGCAGAGCAAGTACGGTGGCTCCAAGAAAGACTCTGTAAGTCCCGTTTTTTAATACCAAAGAACCGTGACATTTTAGTTACTAAAATGAAGTATAGGGGAATATGTTGATTCTTAATTTTAATTTTGTAGTCTGTCGAACGATCTGTGTCGGAAGTAACGCTCGAACGAATGTCGAGCTTTCTCGGTTCCTTATCGATTCTTCCATCACAAGAAAATACCAAAGGTATGAATGCACTCATCCATGCTATATAGATACACTAAAGTTGCGTGTATATACTTACGAACTACTTTCGCGAAGGCACGGTATGGAGGCAAAGCAGTGAATCAGATGGTGCTGCTATAAGGTAGTTAGTGCTTTACATAAATCGAAATGCAGAAAAAAAAAATGCAAATTCAGATTAAATATCTAATTAACTCTCGATTGTGCTCCGTAAAAAAGGAATACAGAAGTCGTAAACGATAATTCTCTAAAAACTCGAAGAAGTTCATCCGTCTCGTCGGATATGAGCAGCATCACTGCCAAGTCATCATCCCTTTCAAATTCAGGTTTGCGCAGTCGTTTGAACAAAAAAAATACCGTGGTTAATTAATTACTTACTAATAATTTACTATTTTTTTTATATAATATTATTTATTTACTCCTTGTTAGCTCCTTCGAAACGGTTCAGCAGCTGGTCTTTCGACGAGAAAATTTTCATAGAGTCGGTTTACAGGGTAAAATTAATTGCCCGACATCGAATTAATTTTTATTCGATTTATTAATAAAACAAAAAAAAAAAAGAAAAACCGAAATGCCATTTGCAGGTGTTGGTTTCGATTTCTCAAACCGGTAGTATCATTCTATATATCCGAGATGTCGACAGGCTGTTCCTACACTCCACTAGACTATACAAACTGTTCGACAAAATGCTGAAGAAATTATCGGGACCGGTTCTAATTCTAGGTTCGAGGGTGTTAGAGCTTGCGGAAGATTCCGGAGGATTAAATAACCGAATCGCTCTTTTATTTCCTTATAGTGTTGAGATTAGGCCACCGGAAGACGAAACTCATCTGCTGAGCTGGAGGGCACAATTGGAAGAGGATTTGAAAAGGATCCAATTTCAGGACAACAAGAATCGCATTGCGGAGGTTCTTGCGGCAAACGATATCGAGTGTGATGATTTAGGATTGATTTGTCATGCCGACACTTTGGTTCTGTGTAGTTATATCGAGGAAATTGTGGTTTCTGCTATTTCGTTCCACTTGATGAATAACAATGATCTTGAGTACCGTAACGGAAAGCTCGTTATATCAGCTAACAGGTAATAAATAGTTTCTTTTCCGTTTAATGTTTAGGATTTTTTTTTCTTTTCGATTTTTTTTAACGATGTCTTTAAATTCGCTGCATTTCGGTGCAGCTTGTCGCATGGACTGAGTGCTTTTCAGGAGGGAAAAAGTGGCGGCAAAGATACACTTAAAGTTTGTACCTTTTTTTTTTTATTTTTTTCGGTTTTGTGTTGTCGTTCCGTTTGAATAAAAAAAATATTTTCGACCGATGTTAGGACACTGAAGGGAGAGAGAATGCTGGATTAAAACCCGAATCGAATACCGAAAACAAGAGTGAGACAGAAAAATTGATTTCTTCAATCTCGAAGCCTCCGGTAAGTTCGACAGATATTTATTTATGCTATGTTTTGGAATGAAGAAAATTAGAATGCAAAAGTATATGAAAATAAGGAATTCGAAAATCTATAGTATGTTTGGTTGCTAGCGTTTTACGCGTAGTTTTTATCACATTTTTCCCGAAATCATTTTACCTCGTAACCAAACATAAAATCTACTTTACTTAGGTGGTGTTTGCAAAAGTTTTTGAAAAGTGATCCCGAGAGTTTTGGCTCAAAATCACTTTTCAAATGTTTGCAATACCAACTTTTGCTTCTACTTCTCTTAAAATAATCTGCTTCAAGCTAAAACATAAAAAACACCCCTCGAGTAACTTCTTTCAAAATAAGTTGTTAAAAGTTGATTTTTCATGGGATTTGCTAACACCCCAAAGTTTTAGAAATTTGCACTTAGGTGGTGTTTGCAAAAGCTTATCTAAAAGCATAAGTTAGTAATTGTGAGTTAAGTTGATATTCCAGTGCTTAATTTTAAAAGTTGGGGTTGTTTGCAAAAAATCTGAAAAATTAATTTAAATAGAAAAAGCAGGTACATGGGTGCTTTTAAAATTACGGCTTAAAACAACTTATTTTAAGAAAAGCAAAAGCAAAAGTCGGTTTTGCAAACACCTAAAAACAGATCATGTGAGAAAAAAAGCTCATCATCTATTTTCAATAACTTTTGCAAACACCACCTTATCACCAACTTAACTCATAATCACCAACTTCTGCTTTTTTAAAAGCTTTTGCAAACACCACCTTAGTCCTTTCATCTCTCTACTCTACTCAGCATTTTCCTTGATCCAAACAGAGCCTTATCACATCATTCCTTCTCTATTACTACAGGAACCAACCCCCGACAACGAATTCGAGAAACGAATCCGGCCTGAAGTAATCCCACCGAACGAAATCGGAGTCACATTCTCCGACATCGGAGCTCTCGACGAGATCAAAGAATCACTACAAGAACTCGTAATGCTCCCACTTCGCCGCCCGGACCTATTCACCGGCGGCCTCCTCAAGCCATGCCGAGGCATACTCCTCTTCGGTCCACCTGGCACCGGAAAAACGATGCTCGCAAAGGCGATAGCCAACGAGGCGGGGGCCAGCTTCATAAACGTGTCCATGTCCACAATCACTTCGAAATGGTTCGGAGAAGACGAGAAAAACGTGCGGGCCCTCTTCACGCTAGCGGCAAAGGTTTCTCCAACTATAATATTTGTGGACGAGGTTGATAGTATGCTCGGCCAACGGACTAGAGTGGGCGAGCACGAGGCAATGCGGAAAATTAAAAATGAATTTATGTCGCATTGGGATGGGCTTTTGACAAAACCCGGCGAACGGATTCTTGTTCTCGCTGCAACGAATAGACCTTTTGATCTCGACGAAGCCATCATTAGGCGATTCGAGCGCAGGTAAAAATATATATATATTTTTTTTATTTTTTGAACTTTAATAGTTTTTTTCGACTATTAGTGAGGTTTGAATTTTTTTCTTTTTTTTTTTTTATGTTGAAACAGAATTATGGTGGATTTGCCTTCGGTGGAGAACAGAGAAACAATACTGAAAACTCTTTTGTCGAAAGAGAAAGCGGAAGATCTCGACTTTAAAGAGCTTGCAGCCATTACGGAAGGTTATAGTGGGAGTGATCTAAAGGTATGTCATCGTGTCTTACGAACTTGTAATAAAATCTAGATTTTTCGATTATTTTTTGTCGCTGACTTGTAACTATTGAAAGCAGAATTTGTGCATAACAGCAGCTTATCGACCGGTGAGAGAACTTATGCAGCAAGAAAGAGAGAGAGATAAGAAGGTGTATATATACATCTATATTTAATATTCATACAACCCATTTCGATTCCATGTTCCGTCAGTGATCACTTTTGTTGTCTACCTAGGAAAAGAAGCAGAAAGACGAAAGCTCGGAAGATTCTTCAGTTCTTAAAGAGGAGGCGAAAGAGGAGACGGTAATTACGCTAAGGCCCTTAAACATGGAAGATATGAGGCAGGCAAAGAATCAGGTAATAAGGCTCTTATCCTTAAAAACTATGTGCAAGAAAATTCAATTTTTTTTTTTTTTTTTTGTTTTTGTTTTACTATGTGTATTAGAAGTTAATTTTTTGCGTGTTTGAATTTTGCAGGTTGCTGCGAGTTTTGCTTCGGAGGGATCGATAATGGGGGAGCTAAAGCAATGGAACGATCTATACGGAGAAGGAGGTACGAGAAAGAAGCAGCAGCTATCCTACTTTCTCTAGAGCATCAGGATAAAAAAATCGATTGTTCGATTTTTGTTCTTTGCGAATGTGGGGATATTATTGCGAAAACGCGAAACTATTGGACGGAAATTATGAGTCGTGTTTTCGAGATTGGTGTTCTCTCGAGGTGCAAATTAAATGTTTGAGTAAAGGTTTGTTGAATTTGTTTGATTCATTATGGTATTGCATTTTTACATTGTGATTGTTTTTTTTTTTTTTTTTTTGTCAACCTACAGAAGGCTCTACTGATCAGCATCTTGTAAATTTTGAGTGCAGATTTTTAGTCAATTTGTTGCTTCAGTTTTTCCTATTCAAAATTTTGAGGTGAACATATTAATGGGGATTTGTATTTGCTATGATTTTGGAGAATGATTTATTAATGGGGAAGTGTTTGGTTTATTCATTTATTTTTAGGGTAAATTACTGCCACCACCCTGAGGTATGAACAAATTATAAAAAATCCCGTCTTGTTTGGGTAATTACAGTCATCCCCCTACTTTTTAATATTGGGTAAATTACACAACCACCCCTGAGGTATGGTCAAATTACGAAAATCCCCCTCTTGTTTGAATAATTACAACCACCCCTCAACTCCTAAAATTTAGTGGAATCTTCGAGATTTATATGGAATATTACCACTTTTGTACCCGTTTTATCTCATTCGAACTCTACATTTTAAAGCAAGATGATCATAATATATGTTGTTTGACTTGTATATATCAGATTGTGGTGCATCAGAAACTGTATTTTTACACAGAACGTACCAACTAGAGCACATTCCACGAAATCTAGATGATTATGTTGAATTTGACACCGTAGGGGTGGAGGTGTAAGAAAAAAACATAGTTGAGGGGTAGATGTAATTATCCAAATAAGAGGGGGCTTTCTTGTAAATTGACCATACCTCAGGGATGTGTTTGTATTTACCCTTTTAATATTTGTACATAAAATTTATGTAATTCGACTATTTACCAAATTAAATCGTTTATTCAGTTCGGTAAACGGTATGAAATGTTGGCGTATCGAAATTTCGGTTTGGATTTATCGATTTAACATCCCTAAATTTATCTCTAGAGAAGTATTTTCATAAGAAATACCTAATTGAGTGGGGTGGTTATAATTACTCAAATAAAAAGGGATTTTCGTAATTTAACCATAACTCAGAGATGGCCGTAATTGCCCTTTATTTTAACTACCCATGAAATCAATTTTTTTAGTCCAAGGACCAACGCAATACAACAACTATTCATTAATAATTATGTAATCACTAATTAATTAATTAATTAAAAAACCATTCACACCCACACCCACACCCATCTTGGACGTGATGATATTTTTCTGCTCCCACGGACCATATAAAAATAATGAAGAATAGGAAAATTGGGTAGTGATAACACAGATCTATTTATGAACAAATCCCTAAAGTTTATGTTTAATATAAAATTAGCTCGTAAAAGATTTAAAATTATGTCGGCAATCAAATCAAATGGGAATCATGTGCGGGTGACTTTATACAATACACTATATAAGATTTTTCAATACTATATTTAAGATATTTTAAAATCTTGTTGAATTTGATCGTTTCAGCACTGCTGGAGCAAATATAACCAGTTATGCATCATTAATGATTATCGGGCAAATTACCCACTCAACGATGTATTGTCTTACACATCCACCCTTGGTGGTTTAAATTTACCCAATGAAGGAAGGGTTTTTTTCATAAGACAATACATAATTGAGGGGAGGTTGTAATTACCCAAACATGAGGTATTTTTTCGTAATTCGAACTTACCTAAGAGGGTAGCCGTATTTTTCCAATAATTCTCATAAATGAAAAAACAGATAATAGGGAAACTTATCACACACTTTTCCGACTAACAATCCGACTATCAGTAGAAATTAGTTCAAAAATATAGTGGCAACGCAAAGTCAAAAATGCCTAACAGAATATCAATCCTTTTCAAATTACGAACCCAAATAGAGTGAAGAAACAAACTGGTCTAAACATGGGTTCTTTCAGACAAACTGAGTCGCAACACATTAAAGAAAACCCGACTGAGTAAAATCATAGGATCTAGAGGAACTTCTTGTCTTTCAATGGACCTTTAGGAATCTTACTTAGGACCTTGGCATCGAACACGGCATACTGCTTCTTTAGCTCTGCCTCAGCTTTCTCAGCAAAAGCATCAATCTGGTCATCATACTTTTCGTACAGCAGAGGCACCGTGTGCAACAAAACGAAGCCTGTTTGTTCATAGTGAAAAAACGAGCAATTAGGAAATGCAAATGAATACAAAATCAAGCAACATTTTGTGAAGATAAAAGTTAGCTGTTGTTACTTACATATATAAAACAAGGTCAGGAAGTTGAAGCAGCTCCCCAGCATGGAAAGAACCCAAAGGCCAGCAATCACCTATAAAGCCAAAAATGCAATATTCAAGTAAGTAAAGAACATCTAAAAAAAATCAATATGCCAAAGAGCAATTTCAGGTATTATATATATCAATTTCAAATCCCTGGTCATGGCATGAAGCAACAAATAATAATAGAAAATCGAGATAATCTAGGAAGATTGACATACAGCAAGGAATTTCTTTAGATCTTTCCCTGATACAATATCTCGAAGGATGGCGAAAGCTCTGTTGAATTCAATCCTAAGGGCGTTAGCGACACCTATCACAATATCCTCGCGAACAACAACTTCTGGGATCTTAGGGGGAGATCTGAGAAGCACAAGAGAAAGTAAGATTGCATGTTCAAAAATTCAAAAAAAAAAAAAAGAAAGGGAAATTTGTAGATCAGTCACGAAGTAATACTTGTTAATAAAGCTGGATGCATTTGACCACAGAAAGATGATTGCAAGACCAAGAATCAGGATATGGCACACTAGTGAAAGGAGATGGTATTCAATCAGTTCAAAAAGCACCCAAATTGCAGTGGCGAAACCAAGCACGCCAGCAGAAACTTTCTTGTCCCTCCATAGGAAAATGTCAGCAGCTGCAAGAGAATCATCCTTGTTAGATAATACAAAAAGAAGCATGCGCTACATTTGAATAAGAATGAAAATATGTATGATTGGCAACTCGATTCCATATTATTATTGCCTGAGACCAAAAGGGATTCTAAAGATACATAGCACAGATAGAATCTATAACAGACTACATTCACAATTTTAGGTCAAACACATATGCACAATAAGCATCAGCTAGTCAAAATGGCATCATTCGCTTCTATTTGAAGCGGCCCAATCACGATCAAATGAAAATCTGATTTCAGTAAAAAAGAATAGATTCGTATTGGTGCAAAAAAGAGCATTAGATATATGCCATCACTGATATATAACAACCGAAAACACTCGCAATAAACGTAAGCCAAAGTAAAACAAAGCTAGCAGATCAATCACTCTCAAATCTCAATACAACTTTAAGGAACAATAAGTGTAAACCAAACGAAACTATAACCCCGTCACTGTTCTAAAACAAATGAAAAAACATCAGCACTCCCATTCTTTATCGAAATTTCATATTCACTTGAAGAAAAAAAAAAAATCAATGTTGTCCTGTAAGCCCTTAATTGATTCACATCTAATTACCATTAAGTGAATATAACATTTCATTTCTTACAAGTTCAAATACCATTACAAATACAAAATATGAGAAGTAGTGGATTTAAACCCTGGCATTTGATTATAAATGCCAGAGCAATGCATATAAGCATATCTACAATTAAATCAACAGAAACAAAAATCATAATCAACCTTATCATCACCAACAAACCAATACCACATCTAATTCGAATATCACATTTTTTATAATTTATTTATTTATAATTACCAAAGTATTGCTGGAAAAAAAAAAAACAAGCGCAGTTTTAAGCAATTCCGCACTAACACAACCACCACATCTAAACACATCCATCACAAATACACATTCATATATCCTCAAAATCAAAGAGCAGTTAAAAAAATAAAAAACAATCTAGAATATTCAGAATAAAGTGGCGTACGTTTTCCACCGCCGAGAACCTTGTGTACGGGCTGTTCGCGGCCGAAGAGGCGGTAGATCTTGGCCTTCGCGGAAGAAGCGGCCGATTTGATGCCCTTGTCGTCGTCGTCGGAATCGGAGGAAGACGAATCGGAGCCGTGAAACTTCTCCGTGATTTTGTCGATCAGAGATTCAGCAGCCGATTCATGCTTCTCGTGCTCGCTAGCATTGTCGGCCATCGATTCAGTAATTCCGATCTCAGTCGCCGCCGTACGTTAACTATTGAGATGTTCGGCGCTTTTCCTTTTCGTTTATTTAATTTATTATTTCTTTCTGCAATGCGTTATATGGGAAATGGGAAGCAGAGTGATATTTAAACTGTGGTAGGAGGTTCGGAATTTCCAGGCCTGAGGTTAGGAGTGACGGAGATCGAGAAAATCTGAGCCCAATGGGGTTGGAAGATTAACGGACGTTATAGGACGTTAGGTTAGAGATTGGCAGCTGTAACATTATTTTGAAATTTTTGTAATTTGTATAGCGCTGCTTAATTGAATTATTATAATTGAAAAATATGTATCCAAGTAAATTGGGAAATATTATAATTTGAATTATAATAATTGAATATTGATAATCCTGTATTAAAGAAACAAGACTAAAACTTTGATGGGTTTTGCTTCATTTTATTTCTCTTGACATACACTCTCGTATAATATTTTGAAGACCATATATAAATTTATATTTTCGTATAATAATTTGCAGATCATAAGAGAGACGTAAATCGCACTAGATTAATCATGTATGATGAATTTGACCTACTGACCATTGATAACGGGATTTAAACCTAGATCACGGGATGCCTCGCTTCCTTTTGAATCAGACAAAATGTTGTATAATAAGATTAATCAAGATAAAATTAATAATCTAATGAAAACTCAATTATTTTATAGAACCTCGGGATCCAACAAAAAAGCTCCTTAAATGCAAAATAAATCGTGATAACTTAATATTTATAGATCGACACGACAAGTTATTGGAATACCAAACATCAAACAAAGTCTAATTATTTGTTAATAATGACTAATTTCCCCAACCAAACCAGTCATAGTACTATGATCCGAAGAGAGACAAATCCCTTATATTGCATTCGACGGCCTTATATTTTATTCTAATTGTTACAAATCCTCGCTATTGTTTCATAAGCAAAAATTCTTATATAATTTAATTTTTTTTACCCTACAAAAACTCACTATCTTTGGCTAATATTTCAATCACAGAGAATTTTAACAATTCAAAATAACAAATTGTGTATTTCATATAAATAAATTGTAGACCAAACAAAAAATCCTACTTCTATCACCTCACCCTAAAATTCTGATAACTTGTCATTACAAACAAACTCATGTTTATAATCAAAAGGTTGCACAGTAATGCCTCGTTTGATTGCCAAAATAAAATTAATCAACATAAAATTAAATAATTTAATAAAAACTCAATTATTATAAGTTGTGATTACAAACAAAAACACAATTACATTTGATCAGAAGTCTCCTTCACCTCAACCCCAAACTACATGATTCCAATACTCATAATAGAACTAGAAAAATGACATCTTATAATTAAAAATAATTAAAAAAAAAACAATATATATTATAAAATTACCTTTTGATAATTGATGTATGTGGAAGAAAATTGGAAGAGTTTAGACAAGTAAAAAGTGGAATTCCCTTTAGAAGTTGAAGCCATTTCAAAAGAGAATTCTCCTTCTTCCTCTTAAGTTTTTTGGTTGAATAATTTGTCTTCTTTTGGAGTTTAGGTAGTTATGTGTGTTGGAGTTGTATATATAAGAGAGCACATCCTAAAGAATATGCTTTTTGAGAGCATTTTTTTTATTGTAAATTACGGAAAAAACCTCTCATGTTTGAGTAGTTACAACCATCCCCCAACTATGAGTCTTCTTACACGTCCACCCTTATGATGTTTAAATTCAACATAATCTTCTAGATTTCATGGAATTGTTCTCTAGTTTGTACTCGTTTTGCGCAAAAATACAGTTTCTGATAACAAAAAAATTGACATTTACAAGCCAATAGACACATCTTATGATCATCTTATTTCAAAATGTGGAACTCGAATGGGGGTAAAATGGGTACAAATTGAAGAATATTCCACATAATCTAGAAGATTCCACTAAACTTGACACTGCAAAGGGTGGACATGTAACACGATTCATAGTTAATAGTTGGTTGTAATTATCCAAACATGAGGGTTTTTTTGATAATTTATCCATACCTCAGGGCCGGGCGTAATTTACCTTTATTTTTATTATTTTTAAAACAAAGCATCTTAAGTGCATGACTCACTATTTGCTGTCTTTCAGTATTCAACTGCAACAATCTTGATTCCTTTTTTATTTTATTTTTTTCTGAGTACACTTATTGAATCTCTTACTAAAAGTACGAGGATTAAACATAATTAATAATTAATAAATATGTGTAATAATTTAATAATTGTGGGAGATCTGATATCATGCATAGTAGTAGTAGTCCTAGTCCAGGCCCAATTCAACTCTATGAGCTGTTCATACCCACATCTGTTGTGCATTATATATTGTCCAGCCCACTCATGAAGCCCTTTTATGCAATTATTTAAAATACATTTTGGACAAATTTTTTTTTTAATTATTAAAATTTACAATTGGGACGGTTTGATGAAAGCATTGAGGTAAAATTTATATATTTGTAATATACAAGTTTGATTACTAGTCTCAATCACTGTACCATAAAACATAAAAATAAAAAAGGTAAAGTAGTCATTTTATTTTCCAGTTCCACTTACATAGCCGACATAAATTGCATTATTGCACAATCAATAACATAATTAAAACAGTATCAATAATAATTTGGGTAATAAGAATTAATAATATTTAATTAAACTTAATGTCAAGCTTTCATAGCTCAGTTGGTTAGAGGACCCGTTTAGTAAGCGGGAGGTCTTGGGTTCAACTCTCAGTGAAAGCAAATTTATAAAGAATTTCCTCTCAATAATTAAATTTTGCCGAATTTTCTTGTGTTTATTTTTTTTTTTAATTTTTTTTTAAATCAACATAATATTTAGTTCATCATTCAATTTTTTTTTAAATCAACATAATATTTAGTTCATCATTCAAAATCTCGGCCCCTTGACAATTTCAGAAAAAAAAAATCAAATCTATAAATATTCAGTTCATCATTCAAAATCTCGGCCCCCTTGACAAATTAAAAAAAAAATCAACCCTATAAATATTTAGTTCATCATTCAAAATATCGGCCCCCATAATTTAATACAATTTTAAGAAAAAAAATCAACCCCATGAATATTTATTTCATCATTCAAAAACTCGGCCCCCATAATAAAATATATGTTGAATTTTCTTGTGCAATATTTTTAACAAGGTTTCCTTGATTTTTTTTTCGTAAAAATCAACCCCATAATATTCACTTCATCATTCAAAATCTCGGCTCCCATTATACAATATTTCGAATTTTATTTCACAATACTTTTAACGAGCCCCCGCTAACATTTAAAAAAATATATCAACCCCATAAATATTTAGTTCATGATTCACAATATTGCCCCCCATAATAACTATTCCTAATTCGGGCCTTAAAACCATATCAATGCGATAAATATTTAGTTCATCGTACATAATCTCGACCCCCACAATAAAATATCCATGTATCCGCCTCTAGATGAATGCATAGTGTTTGTGAATTGTTTGCATTCATATTTATGGAAACTAAAATTTACCTCCAATATAACTATTTATTCAACATCTAGTTTCCGGTTAATACTATATTATATCAGGTAGATCTTTATTATTCATAAGCACACAAAACACATACATCCCACATTGATGTCTATAGATAGATCAACGGTATAAATCCACACAATGCAACATTCACCAGATGTAGCATAAAAAATAACCTTAATTTCCAAACACCTATATTTTTCCCCATGAAACGTCACTTTTTATTAAAGGACAGTCTTTGTATCTATTAATTTATCTTCAAATTTAATGGTGAAATAAGAATTGGAAGGATGAAAATGAAGTAAAATAAAACCTCATGAATAAAATTCAAATTGAACGCAAAGATCAAGGGTAATTTTGAAATTTTGCATAAGGGGTGGATTAAGTGCTGTTTTACCCTAAATTTGATCCTACGTAACTTTTGCTTTTGGAGTGTTAAAAATTATGAAATGATGACCGTTCCAAGCTAAAGATAGATAGGAAGTCAAACCTTTAACTGCCCAATCAATTCCAGAGTGTTGACTCTTGACTCTGACCGGTTCGCGTGCCCCCCATCTCGGCCAAAGCCTACCCCCTCCCCTCCGATCAGTCACATTTTTTTACTACCAAAAGACTGCCAAAAAGCAAACCCTAACAAATACACCTTCTCTTTCTTCGTTTCTCTTTTTGGCTCTTTTCCTTTTTTTACTTTCTTTTTGGAATTTTCTTGTCATCATTTTACCTCTCATTTTTTTTTAATTAGGAAAAAAGAAAATCAGTTTCAATATATATATGTTTGATTAGTGAGATGGTTTCTATAATTTCCACCATATGGTTAGGTTTGGGCCATGGTTCTGATACCACCATTAGAGATCCATGGACACAAACTCCACATTGGTATGATATTATTCAAATTGGGTCGAGTTCAATTGGTTTTTGCTCTTGGGTTTTCCCAAATGGCCCAAACCAATAAAGTTGCTATTTGTTCCTTATAAATTAGTGATCTTTCCCATATTAAAATTGATGTAGGACATTGTTTGCACCTCAACATTTCTTTCACTGAATCTATGAATGTAATTGATTTTTTCTTGTGTTTTGATTCATTCTAACAAGACTAAAATATAGCATATAATACATACTATAATCTGTACATCTATAAATGCACTTCAGCTCCCCTCGAACCGTGCGTGCATTCAATATTTCTTCAATTCTAGATTCAACATTTCTTCGATTCTAGATGCTGCAACTACTTCAAATCACCACCGTTTGATCTCAACTCTTCCTTGAACAATCACACGTTCAATAATCGAAGTCTTCAATCACATATTGACATATAAAAAATATAGAAAAATCGTGTACGCTAGCATTAACACCACCTTTGGAATTTTTTTAATGCATTCAGGCACTCCGAGCTTAAACATTATAATTCCGATGTTGGACCGTACCCTATGAAATTAGCCTAGTGAAAGAGTGTGTATAAATTATAATACATACAAATATGAAATATATTGTATATGCTAAAGTTGGTTTGGGACCATCTCTCACATAGTCGTTCAATTCAAAGGCCTGTGTGGTCTGAGTTGTGCACCAGAAAATAAATTCAGTCTATACTCTACACTCTGCTAAAAGGACTCTCTCCTCTGAACCTAAAGCACTGTTTGGCCGCCATCCTTTTCATCCCGTATATTATACTTTTATTTACATTTATCACGTGCCTCACGTGACCGTCCTTCTCTCCTGCGCCAAACACCCCCTTAGCTAATAGTATATAGTCTTCAATCTTCAGCTCTGCATGTTCAACACCCACAGTAGTCTTTCATTTTCCCGATTATCTCTAACCCTAATGGAAGCGCTTGGCATCCTCAAATTCTGGCGAAATGCAGCCGACGGCGGCGGCGACGAGGCCTCGTTTTTCGATTTGGTTGTTAAATCGCCCGACGGCGCCGCCGCTGGACGAGGTGGCGGAGTCGCGAAGAAGGATTTGGAGTTTATCGAATCTCCGACGGATGTTTTTCCGACGAAGAATTCGTCGCCGGTTACTCCCCTGCCGTCGGCGACGAAGTTCAAAGTATTCATATTAGGTTTCCGGAAATTGTCGAAATGCGAGAAAACAGAGTCCAACGGCGAGTTGACGGGGTTCAGTCCGGCCAATCCGATTCCAAAGTGTGCGAAAACGGCGGCCGCTTCTACATTGGGAAGAGACGACAGTTTGAGAAGTCACCTGCTCAAAGAAGCCTCCGATTGCGCAGCTTCACCGGAAAATTCGCCGCCGGAGGAATCCGTTCCCAAGTATCTGAAGCTGTTTAAACCTCTGTTGCAGTCGAAGGTCTGGAAGAGGCAGAACGAGAAGGCGAAGTCCACGGCTTCCTCAACGGCGCCGTCTTCTACTCCGGCGAAGGCGCGTGCGCATTCATCGCCGAGAAATTCCTCCGACGGCGGCGGCAGGGTGGGGGGGTTTAAGATCGTAACGAAGCATTTGGGGAAAAGTCGATCGGCGCCGTCGGTAATCGCTGCGGCACCGCCTATCCGTCGGAGAGACGATTTGCTGATGGAACAGCAGGATGGAATCCGGAGCGCCGTTCTCTATTGCAAAAAATCCTACAAGTCTTCACCTGGAAAAGGTACGATTTCTCCCCAAAATTGTCTCTCGCTTAACATTTTTACTTATTAAATTCCACTGATTCGTTCATTCTGTAATTTGTTTTCAGAATTTTCACCATTGTTTCGATCTTCGACTGATGATGCTTCGCACGTGAAATTGGGACAAGAGCCAAAGAGATGTAGCATTTGAATTTTAGAAAAGAAAATAGGTTTTTACTTTTTAAGATCATCTTTTGTAAATCTGAAAATTAGTGTGAAATGTGAATGCCCAATGAGTTTTGAAGAAATTTTCCCAAGCAAAAGAAGTGTTGGTTTACTTTCCGGACTGTTAATTTCTAGAGAGAGAAACTGATCTTATGCCTTAATCTATATTCTATAGTGCAATTTTATTATACAGCATCCGATGAAATTCAACGAGTTGAACATCGAAAAACCCAACCGATTTACACCTCTATAGTGGTTCGTCGGAGCCACTAACAAGAAACTATGCTCCCGAGTGTGCGCGCATTATTTGTACTTCTAACGTCAAAGGTGAAGAAGACTCGAAGAGACCCCTTAATATCTAGAGGTTGCAAGATTGGATCGATTTCGTTCAACGTTATTCTTTTATAGAATATGTAATTTAAAAATTACCATAGGGTGCTTCATTATCCAACGAGATATATACATATGTATTATTTCAAATAATTATATTATTTGATGAATGGGTCTTTGAGTTGTCGTACATAACAATTTGCTTCTAATAAAAAACACTTAGTTGTTTGTCGAGAAGAATCGAAATTATGAAAAACGAAATGTCTAATGAGGCATGGTGAAACAATTCCCTTACGACAATAGTAATAGGTTGTCAAAGGTGAAAAATAGTCTTTAACGGTAGTCTCCCAAATACAATAACAAATGTTTGAATCTTGCACAAATATCAAACCCATGGTAACTTTTATCAACGAAACGGAAATTTGACAAAGAAAAACTATATATGAACTACGCTTAAAAAGTAATTAGTTGGCCAAATCTAAATACCGACCGTAGAAATTCATTCGTAGAGGGTTGCAATAATTTGAAGAAAAATAGATATACATCTTGTAATTTCCCAACGTTCACTATGCAATTCAATATATCTATTTTGAAGACAATTTCTATCAAGTTATTTTATAGTTTTCTAAGAATGTAAATGTATGTAAGGAATCTCCATCTTCTCGTATTGAAATTCCTGGCTGCCCATTGCTTCAGTTGTTGGATCTCCCCAAGGTATTTCTTTTTCCTCAGAGTAATTCTTACAAACACTTGGTGTGCACATCGATGAACATGCGGAAATCGGCTGGAATCATCGTTAATACTTACCACGCGCTAGAATTCAGAGCTATGGAAGCATTGGCAAATGGTTTGTGCAGCCCAGGTGTGCCGACTCCACCTGTTTACTCGCTCGGTCCGTTCATTAATTCTGAAAAAGACAGTAGCTCCGGCGGCGGCGGTGGCGGCGCAGAGGCTGAATGTTTTCGGTGGCTGGATAATAATTAACTCCCTATCACCGCCTCGATAAACTTCTCCATAGCAACCACCGTCGATCCACCCTTTGCCACCGCGGCGGCGGCGGAGTGTTTCATCTCCGTTACCCGGCGTCTCACCTCTGTCCCAGTCTTCGAGTCCATCAGCTCCCTCACTCTCTTCTCCAACTCAGCCGCCGTCACGAAGCCGTCCTCCGCCTCCTCCAGCGGCAGCGCCACCTTCATCTCCTCCACCATGAAAACTCGATTAACCCTCTGCTCCGCGTACAGCGGCCAACCAATCATCGGCACGCCGAACCACACCGCTTCCAGAAGCGAACCCTGACCGCAGTGAGTCACGAAACCCCCCAACGATTCGTGACTCAGCACCTCCATCTGCGGCGCGTAACCCTTCAAAAGGATCCCCCTATCTTTAGTTCTCAACAAAAAACCACAGGCAGAAGAGAATAAAAGTCAACATCTAGCGGCGGACTCCGCACCGCCCAAAGAAATCTACAACCGCTGTTTTCCAAACCAACCGCCATTTCGTTCAACTGCTCAGCGGAAAAAAACCCCTTCTTCCAAAACAGAGGAAAACAACGCTTTTAATCGGCTGTAAATCCAGCCACCGAAAACATTCAGCCTCTGCGCCGCCACCGCCGCCGCCGGAGCTACTGTCTTTTTCAGAATTAATGAACGGAGCGAGCGAGTAAACAGGTGGAGTCGGCACACCTGGGCTGCACAAACCATTTGCCAATGCTTCCATAGCTCTGAATTCTAGCGCGTGGTAAGTATTAACGATGATTCCAGCCGATTTCCGCATGTTCATCGATGTGCACACCAAGTGTTTGTAAGAATTACTCTGAGGAAAAAGAAATACCTTGGGGAGATCCAACAACTGAAGCAATGGGCAGCCAGGAATTTCAATACTATAATCAAAATCCTTCAAGCTGTCGGCGGCGCCGGGAATTGTGTCGTGAATGGTCGGCCAGTGAAGCAGCTTCCAAAGTGCGGACGCGCCGGTGGTGTTGCAGAAGTAAGTCGGTATACCGAAGCTTGTACAAACCTCGAAAGCGGGATTGCAGAAAACATCGATGATGATTGCTTTGATGTTTGATTCCTTGGATATCTCTTCAATGGCGTCTCGAAGGATCGGGTTGTTGAGGCGTGGGATTTCGAAGAAGAGTTCGAAGTGATCGGAGTTTGGTGGAAGAGCTGGGGTAGGAAGGAGGCGGTAATTGACGGCAGGCGCGGCGGCGGCAGCAGCGGAGGAAGCTGCTGCGGCAGTGCTGAGCAGGACGACGGAGATGGAAGGGTGGTGTTTGCCGATTGCAACCGACATAGGTAACATGGTATTCAAATGCTCCGCCGAGGCGTAAACAAGTATGGTTTCTGCCATTGATGATACCTTGAGGACTGAAAATGTTTAAGACTAAGAGGAGTGATATTTTGCTTTTGCATGCAATCGGAGTCAATTTATTGTTGGGAAAATTCATTTTTCACCCCTGAACTATTTGGGTTGTACCAAAACCCCCCTTGAAGTAGAAACATAACAAAAAAGTCCATGTCTTGGTCGACGTTATAAAAATTAGGATAAATTGCGGCCATCCACCCTTGAAGGTAAGGTCAAATTACGAAAAAATATCTCATGTGTGGGTAGTTACAATTTACAACCACCCATCAATTATGAATATTCTTACACGTACACCTTTACGGTTCAAATTCAACATAATCTTATACATTTCGTGGAATGTTCTCTAGTTTGTACTCGATTTGTACAAAAAATGTAGTTTCCGATGCTCCACAATCTGACATTTACAAGCCAAGAGACACATCGTGTGATCATCTTGTTATAAATGTGGAGCTCGCATAGGGTAAAACGGGTATAAACTCGAGAATATTCCACATAATCTATATAATTTAGAAGATTACACTAAATTTGATACCTCAAGGCTGGACGTGTAAGAAGATTCATAGTTGAAGGGTGGTTGTAATTACCTAAACATAAGGAATTTTTTCGTAATTTGACATTAACTTAAAAACTAACATCGTCAGTCTTCTTGTGCATTTACTTATTTTCGCTTAAAACACTAATAATGTCTACCGATCACCACTTTCTCTCTCCCGTCGTTTTTTTAACAATGTCTTTCATGCTCTTTCTACTTCATCGTGAGAGAGGAAAACATGCAATACCTAATTAGCAGCTAAACATTTTCAATTTATCTACCATAATAAACACAAAATTCAAGAAACCCAACATACTTCGTAACCTAGTTTATAAATTTACTTTACTTTTTTGAGGTTGACACAAAATTCAAGAAACCCATCAAACTCCTACTTCCAACAGTGTGATCAACGGACTTGTGCAAGGTTACCGCAGCGAACTACAACGCTGAGTGGTGTGTGCTAGTATACACGGTGTTGTTGTTTGGGTAGTAGGTCGTTATGCGACTGATAGTGAAAATTGGGTGGCACAATATGCATAAGGGATTGTCCGAGGATCCGACGACGGCGGCCTACGGTATCGTTAGGTGCCAAAATAATAAAATTTTGACGGCGCAGTGCATCTACCCATACTAAATTAAGTATTACGATATTTGTCACTCGTTAAATATTGGCTTACATTTTCAGGCCTTTTGGAATTGTAGTAATTTTTTAAATTTCGAAAATTTTGGAATTGGAATTAAAATTGAGTTTGTACTTCCGAAACTTTTTGGAAGTTTTTCGAAACGGTTAATTCCGATCTAATCCATCTGAGATATGTAAAACGGAAATATGTACAATACAGAGTATAGTTTCCATTTAATAAAATTAGTATCAAAAGTGACAAACCTACTCTAAATCAATAAAGCCCTTTACTTGCGAAAATGACGATGTACACTAATGTTGTTTCGCGAGGAATAGGTAAATACGTAAGAGCAACTCCAACAGCTATTTCATATGTTATAGTTTACCATTTCCGATAACCTTGGTTAAAAATCTTGCTCCACCAACTTTTTTCAATTTACGGCACTTGTTCATATTTAGGTTTGGTTTGTCAAATTTAGCTAGCTAAAAATTGAAATGGCAAATTTGCTTTAACAAAAAAAGGGTTAGTATTTTGCATAAAATGAAAATTGCACGCAACCCCAACAATAAACTTACTTTTTTCAATAAATTCAATTCTTTTTAAGGGTTAATTGCATTTTGTCCCTAAACATTGACGTGTTTTGCACGTTACCCCCTAAACTAAAAAAAAAAATTACGCTATACCTCCATATATACTCTATTATTTGAAGTACCAATAAAAGAAATTGGCAATTTTCAACCAATTTCTGGCATGAATGGTGCATGTGCCATTCACATGTGTTTGAGGAGGGGCAAAATTGTCTATGGATTTCAATAAATTTATGCCGCCACCACCACTCTGCCACACACCATGCATGGCTATCTCAAAACACGCTGCACACTTTTCCTAAGGCTGGCGGAATCCACCGCCGGCAATCCCACACATCCTGTTAGAGAATATTATATTATAGTAATATTGGGATTCTAGTATGATTCGGTTACCTAGATTAGTTAGGATTTAGTTACCTAGTCAAACTCTAATCAACCCATAACAGAATGGGGGTTTCTATTCTATCTTTCTCTCCTTCTCCTATTCTATTCTTCCTATATGGTATCAGAGCACCAGGTTTAGGTTTTTTTAACCTAGCCGCCTTCCTTCTCCATGGCGGTGATAACCTAGCCGCCTTTCTTCTCCATGGCGGTGACCACCCAATTTTCTCTATTACCTTGCAATATTTCTCTATATATATTCCATGTAATCAACCCATAACAGAATGGGGGTTTCTATTCTATCTTTCTCTCCTTCTCCTATTCTATTCTTCCTATACATCCAAATGAAACCGGCGGTCACATATCCTATTATCACGAGCTGATATTTAGGTGGCTCCTAAATCCAAATCGAAGAAGAAAATCAACAAGGCCAAGTTCAAATTTTTTAAGAAAGGATCCCTAAATATTCCTACATCCATTCCTGTGAAAGACGAGTCATAAATAATGTCAATAGACGATGATTTAATCTATGATGTGCCGGGCCCCTACCGGTGTCAATCTAGTGCTTCTAGGAAGAGTTATTCTACACCAAGTGAACTCTTAAGAAAAAAATGAGGTGAGAAGCTTCTCTAAATATATGGACTTCGATTTTTTATTTTTTTTTTTTTTAAAATTTGGTGATAATTGGTTTGTAAGTGTGTAAAATCCCTTTGGATTGATGATTTGTGGTTATGGGAATCGTATTCTCTTGAATCTACCTCTCCTTTGAATGTTCTTTCTCCTTAGTTGTACGTGCCGTTGAAAGTTGGGAAAGATCAATAACTTACATCAAAGTATATGTTTTTACTTTTTAAGATCATCGTTTGTAAAATAGATCCAGTACAAAAAAATCAAAATCTGAAAATTAGTGTGTCGTGTGAATGCCCAATGAGTTTTGAAGAAATTTTCAAAAACTTCTTGCATGATCTTGAATCGTTTGAATAAAATTGATTTGTTTGCCCTCTCCCTCGAATATCAAGTCAATATTATTTTCAATTATGGGAGCATAATCTATGCATCCTGATCCGTACCAAAAACAACGCGGCTCAATGATCCTTCCGGCTTGCTTGAATTATCACCTGCAAGGAAGAGAACTGGATTGATGCCGGAGTTGCCGGAGTTAGCACTCCGACGATCAAGTCAGTAATGATTCGTTGATTATTTTAAGTAAGGATTACATATTTTTTATTATACGTGTTGATGACTATGAAAAAAGGACTCCCCCTTTGAGACGGGTATATTCCTCTTTTATAATGGCCTTTTGGCTCTTCGTTCGAGGGCCCGGGAATTCAGGTCAGCGACTACCAGCAGCGCCACTTCTCGCTGCCCGGACGGCCGGGGTCATGATCCCTCCTATAGGTCTGACTATGATGCTTGTGTGCACGCCGCTTGGCCGCACCTGGTCATTCGGGTATTAAATGTTGTTGTCAGAGCATTTAATACGCCACTGACGATACTGTCAACGTTATTTATGGCTTACCCCGACCTCCGCCGGGGCGCCGGGATGCCCATGTGATGTAGGCGTATCTGGGTAGTTGCCTCCACTCTCTTATTAACGGGCCTATGGAACGTTCAAGACCATTCCTCTCTATGGGCCTGACTCTCTGGTGGATCACGCGCACCGGGCTTATCCATTTCTTGACGGGCTCTTTGCTTTGGGCCTCGTAGGCCGATTTCGGTATGGATCACATCCAATGAAATTCAATAAGTTGAACATCGGAAAAACAATCGGTTTACACCTTTGAAGTGGTTCGTCGAAGCCATTAACAAAAAACTATATATAACTCCAAAGTGCAGGCACATTTCAGATAATTCTAACGTAAATGGCGAAGAATACTCGAAGAGATCCCTTCACATCGAAAAGGTTGTAAGATTGGATCGATTTCGGTCTACATTTTTTTTTTCTTTTACACGTTTTATATTTAAAGTACCATAGGGTAGTTAATTATCTAACAAGATATATGCATATATATTCGAAGCCATATATTAATTGAGAAATAGGTCTTTGTGTTGTTGATATAACAATTTGTGTAAAAGGAAAAACAACTAGTTGTATAGTGAAACGACTCAAAATTGTGGATCACGATATGCCGACTGAAATTTGTTGAAGCAATATTCTTAAGATAATGTTTTCGGACTGACGAAGATGCAACAGTCTCTTATTGATCGTCTTCTAAGTACAACAATCACATGCTTGAATCTAGTACAAAGATCAAACCCACAACAAACTTGAACAACGAACGGATTTAATAGGAAATAAGAAAACTATGTATAAAGATCTACTACTCGAAATATTATGATTAATTAAATACATACTTGGTTCATAGAGAGTAGCAATGGTTGGAGGAGACCATAAGAGTCCTTCATCAAAAAAAATTTCAAAAGAAAATACATAATTATAAGTTTTATTACCTCAATAAAACTAGATTTATCACACAAAAAAAAAAAAAAAAAAAGAAAAACATAAATAAATAAAAGTAGAAGGGGTTGATGGGTAAAATAGGAAAACTACATGTATCTCCTATTTACCTTAATACCTAACCAACAACGAGGAAATAATTAACTCCCTATCACCGCCTCGATAAACTTCTCCATAGCAACCACCGTCGATCCACCCTTTGCCACCGCGGCGGCGGCGGAGTGTTTCATCTCCGTTACCCGGCGTCTCACCTCTGTCCCAGTCTTCGAGTCCATCAGCTCCCTCACTCTCTTCTCCAACTCAGCCGCCGTCACGAAGCCGTCCTCCGCCTCCTCCAGCGGCAGCGCCACCTTCATCTCCTCCACCATGAAAACTCGATTAACCCTCTGCTCCGCGTACAGCGGCCAACCAATCATCGGCACGCCGAACCACACCGCTTCCAGAAGCGAACCCTGACCGCAGTGAGTCACGAAACCCCCCACCGATTCGTGACTCAGCACCTCCATCTGCGGCGCGTAGCCCTTCCAAAGGATCCCCTTATCTTTAGTTCTCTCCAAGAAACCCTCCGGCAGCAGCGCCTCCACGTCTGGATTTCCCGGCGGACTCCGCACCGCCCAAAGAAATCTACAGCCGCTGTTTTCCAAACCAACCGCCGTTTCTTTCAACTGTTGAGCAGATAAAACACCCCTTCTTCCAAAACAGAGGAAAACAACGCTTTTCATCGGCTGTAAATCCAGCCACCGAAAACATTCAGCTTCTGCACCGCCGCCGCCGGAGCTACTGTCTTTCTCAGTATTAATAAACGGACCCAGTGAGTAAACAGGCGGAGTCGCCGCACCTGGTACGCACAATCCATTCGCCAGTGCCTCCATAGCTCTGAACTCGAGCGCGTGGTAAGTATTAACGATGATTCCGGCCGATTTCCGCATGTTAATTGACGCGTCCACAAAGTGTTTGTAAGAATTACTCCGAGGAAAAAGCAATACCTTGGGGAGATCCAACGAGTGAAGCAATGGGCAGCCAGGAATTTCAATATTGCCATCGGCGCCGGAAGTTATCTCGTGAACGAACGGCCAGTGGAGCAGTAGGCAAAGGCCGAACGCGCCGGTGGTGTTGCAGAAGTAAGTGGGTATGCCGACGGCGGCGGAAACTTCAAACGCGGAGTAGCAGAAAACATCGATGATGATTGCTTTGATGTTTGATTCCTTGGAGATCTCTTCAATGGCTTCCCGAAGTTTCGGGTTGTTGAGGCGAGGGATTTCGAAGAATTGTTCGACGGGATCGGAGTTTGGTGGAAGGGCGGGGGTCGGAAGGCGGCGGTAGGTGACGGAGGAGGAGGCCGCGGCGGCGGCGGCGGTGGTGCTGAGGACCACGACGGAGATGGAGGGGTGGTGTTTGGTTATTGAAACAGCGAGTGGTAACATGGAATTCAAGTGCTCCGACGAAGCGTATACAAGTATGGTTTCCGCCATTGATGAAAGTCTTCGTACAGAAAATGTTCTCCGGAATGAATAATGATATTTGCTTTTGCATGCAGCCGGAGTATTTATTTAAATAAATGATAAATAATAATTAAAAAAAAAAAAACTGTTAATTATTTTGAATTGCCAACTACTTTTTGTGTTATTTTTTTTTTTGGTTAAATACAAAAACACCCCTTACTATCGAATTTGTATCATATACCCCGTACTATACATAAATACAAAACTCCCCCTATTTTTATATTTTTTCCAAAATCTGACGAAAATACCCCTGCTAAACCTATAAATACAAGGGTTTGTTTGAGCCATTTTCCACTATATTTTTTTAACATTTTCGGTCAATTTTACTTGGGAAATTTTGATATTTTTATTTTTTTCTCCAAAACATTTAATTACTTAGATTTTTTTTTTTAATTTTCTGAATATAACTTTTTATTTTTATCATTTTGAATTTTTTAATTTTTTTCTTAAATGTCTTCCGATAGTTTAGTATACTTTTTGTGTTACTTATATCTATAATATATGGGATTATATTTTTGGAGTTTAATTAAATTAGGGATGTAAATTATAAATATAAGAAGCTGGAGTTTATAATAAACACATATTTTTTTGCATATGAGCATATAGTAAATTCAAAAACTTAATTTGAATAATAAATTTTTTTAATACCAATACTCGATCCAAATAAAATCTTTCGTCACGTTCGTTTCTATTATTAGCAATTTTTTATCTGCCGTTAGCAATCCGACGATCCAGATGGAAGGGCATATATTTTCTTTGTTTTTGTTTTTTTTTTTTGCTTTTTTGTAGTGGATGAAGTAGTTGATACGACTCTAAAGACTACACCTAGGGGTGTGCACGGGTCGGTACGGCTCGGTTTTTCCAATAAACCAAACACGTACCGATAATATCGGTTTCTCGTATTTTAAAAACCGAATATGTCGGTTTTTTTCGGTTCGGTGTGAATCGGTTTTTCGGTTTTCGGTTAACGGTTTCGGTATCAATTCGGTTTATTTTCGGTTTCGATTTCATCTATTTGTTCGAACCGGTTCGGCATAAAACCCATATATTTGGACTTTCATTATATTTATTTGAGAAAATTAACAAATAACAACCGAAAATTAACTAATAAAAAACACGTCACAACCAAAATTAATTAATAGAAAACGATGTCACATGGAGGCGCTCGAAAGATAGAGGCACGCTAGGGTAAATATTTATAATATATATCAAAAATACATCATTTTGTATAAATCGGTTCGGTTCGGGAAATCGGTTCGGTAATTTTTAAATTCTCCATACACAAACCGATATTTTCGGTTTTTCAAAAAAAAATTACCGTGTATGCGGTTTTAAGTCGGGACGGTACATATCGGCTCGGTTTTTTCGGTTTTTGGTTCGGTTTTTCGGTTTTTCGGTTTTTTTGCTCACCCCTAACTACACCACAAGAGTTGATGACACTTTTAGTGTTTTTATTTTTTTTTGGTAAATGTGCTATTTATAGGTCTATTTTTATTTAATTTATAAATATGTAACATTTACCCCATTTAATTTCATTCAGTTTGTAGCGACGTTATTAATAGGAACATTTATTTACTGTTTTTTCTTCCCGAATTGACAAAAAAATTCGGCCTTTAAGCTGGCTTTCTAATCTAACTTAAATTAACTAGATTTAATGTCGATTGAGAGAGTTAAGCATGAATGAGTTACCATTTTAATATGAGAAAACTCAAAACATAAAAATTAAAACGACATTTAACATTTCAAACTTTCTATTAACTACTATTCAAAAGGCAAAATGATAATTTTTAAGGAAATAAAAGAAATTAAAAATAAAATAAAAAATATGTATATTATATAAAAAAAAATGCCAAAATATTTCTTTTTTGACGGTGCAATGCATCTACCGCGCAAAAAGGACAGACTACATAGTACAGTTTCCATTTAATAGAACTGGAGGGTTGTTTGGGTAAGCTCATAAGAGCTTATAAGATATTTTTTTTTTTGAAAAAGTGCTTATAAGATATTTAAAAGCTTATAAGTTTTTGTAAAGTGTTAGATAAAAGATAATAAAATAAATTCGTAAAAATTAAAAAAATAAGTTGCTGGGATACTTCTACCCTACGTTTTTTTTTAAGATCTTATAATGAATAAAAAAAAGTTTATAAATTCATTATCCAAGCACTTTAAAAAATAATTCTAAAAATAAGATATAACGGCATATCATTTTTTACAACAACTTATCAAACCTAAGACCTTCCTTATCAACTGTTTAAATAAACTTAGCTAAGCGGATCCCTAATCGAAACACTTTAAAAAATAATTCTAAAATAAAATGTATCAACTTATCAACTCTTAAATCAACTTATCAGACGTAGGAGATTATAAACTATATAAAATAACTTAGCCAAACAGACTCTTAATTGTACATTTAATTTGTATGGACTCATGGCTACTAGGGTTGATAATGCCAACCTACTCTAAAGTCTAAATCAATAATTCTAGTACATGCGAAAACGACGATTTATATTTATGATGACAAGCATATATAATAATTAATAACGTTTGAAAGAATATATTGAAGTAATCAACCAATCACGTACCTCTAAAATAATGATTAGTTTAATATTAAATATTTGCTAGTGACTTGGAAAATGTTTAAGAGCGTCACTAATCATGTTTCTAACATGGGTTTTTGTATTTTGTTTTAGACACCCATAATAATAATAATAATAATAATAATAATAATAATAATAATAATAATAATAATAATAATAATAATAATAATAATAATAATAATAATAATAATAATAATAATAATAATAATAATAATAATAATAATAATAATAATAATAATAATCTCTATTGAGAGAGACTATACAATTAGTTTTCTACATTACCTTAATCCTCATGAATTACGTCAATTATCTTATATCTTTCAAAATACATCTCAACCAGGGCCGGTTTCTTAGGGGAAGCGAAGTAGGCGGTCGCCTAGGGCACTCGGATTTTTGTAACAATTTAGGGCCTCAAATGTTTTTTATATCTCTTATATATTAGAATTTATTCAAAAAAAAATTATATTATATATAATAGATATAGATCATCGATTTTTACTTGTTTTTATAGTTCCTCTAATCATGGGGCCCCCAATTATTTAATTTATAGTGCATTAGCTATTTATTTTTATATATTTACACTTGTTTTAGTGCTACTTAATGAAAATTATTCTTAAAAAAACTGGGGGCACTGCCCTCGAACCCCCGAAAACTATCATCACTATATCAAAAATTTATAGCCTTACCTCTGGCTATATACCTTACAAAAATGAGTTAACATAGAGTTTACCATTTTTCTAAAAAAATGAGTTTTCACGTGAATTGTAGAAAGGCCCCATTTTTCAACCATCTTCAAAACTCTCGCCCCCAAAATCTTAGGAACGGCCCTGATCTCAAATATATATATCTATATATATATATATATATATATATATATATATATATATATATATATATATATATATATATATATATATATATATATATAAAGCATACATGAAAATGTAGCTTTCCAATGCAACACAAAATATCATTTTTTCACTAGCAATACATTAAATCCAAGAAACATGGGCTCTGTTTGGTAAGCTTTTGGGCTTCCATTTCCATTTTATTTTGTGGAAAGATGTTTTGGGAGAAGAATTTGAAAATTAAATAAAGTTTGTTTGTGTTTTGGGAGGAGACAATTTATACTGTAGCAAGTCAAATCATGTCTGAAAGGTGTTGGAAAAAGGTATTTTGGAAGAAGAATTTAAAAGATAAAGTGATTTGATTTTGTATTTTAGTGAAGACAATTTTCACTGTAGCGGTCAAATCATGTTTGTTAGAGAGAGAAATATTTGAATTTGTTTTGGGGAAAGTTTTTGAAAATAGTGTGAAAAGATAATTTTCATTTTAGGGAAAGTGTGAAAAGAAATTGGAAAGCTTAACAAACATAACCATGGTATGGTAACAAAAGCAAGTGACAAGGCAAAGTGTGCACCACTACTTTTGTAAGTAGTAGTACTCTTTCAATTTCAGTACAAGAAACGTGAAACATATTAAAGACAAATTCTTCAACCTATAATCACATCTAGAATATAGTTGAAACCCTTTTAAAAGTTGTCTCGATTTTGTCCTTTTTCGTTTTTAATTAGTTAGTTGAGAAACGGTGATATTTTACGGACTTTTTATGTTTCTTTTGCTATAATCTATGCATATTTATTGATTTTCTTAATTTGTAAGCAATAATATAAAACAATATATAATATGAGATAGAAGGAGTACTATATTAGCTGAGGCCTCTCACATATTGATCAATGGCTTCATTGAATAGGTCACAACTGCGAAAACAAGATCGGACAAAATCGAATTATTAGCATAGCCCGGTAATTACATAGTTGCGGAAAATTATTATAAACATGGATGGGTATTTTGTGTATTGGAACTTCATGGTTTATACTTTATATCACGATTTCCAATAATTAATATTGAGTAATATTAACTTGATTGTATAATTATATTTGAAGACATCTAACTATGAAGTGAGTTGAATGGAAATTGCTCCACAAATTATGTATCTCGTGTAGGTTTGAGCGTGGACTTTGTGTAATTTGAATTTTCAAAAAGATTATTAGGTTTTAGACAAGGGCTTTTTTAATATTTATTTAATAATTAATTAACTAGGCCCCAACCGAATAATGAGTTATTCGGCCCAATTCCAAACTATTTTCCCTACCACGTTCAAATTGGTAGGAATGATTTAATAGACTTTAATTTACTCAAAAAAAAAAAAAAAAAAATCGTATTTCTGGATTTATTATACGTTTACTTGATTCTTTCTCCGATCCAACCATTGCAATCCTCCACCGAGAGATTTCTACCGTCTATAAATTAACGTAAAATCTGGCAATTTCCGTACTTAATTTTAGTCGGGCAATTATGAGCACGGTTCTTCGTATTTTCCCTCTTCTGTTGAAGTTTCGTTCGTGTTTGAAGTTCGCGTGGACTTCGAGTTTGTGCAAAATTGGAAGTAACCGACTGTTGTATCTTGAAAGAGTAACGAAAGAAGCATGTTGCACTATAAACAACCCGTAAATGTTGTCTAAATGACGTTGCAATTGCAAGCCTCAGTCGATTTCCGTTGTTCCATATTTTTGTTTCCTTAACCGGCAAATATGTAAGTGATTCTTTTATGCAGATTATTATATTTAAGCAATATAATTGGTCAATTGGGAAATTACGATACAATTTTGGGGTTTGGGGAATCTCCCCAATTATGCTTTGGGGGTATTCATATAGAAAGGTATGAAATTTATTCATATTAAGTTATATTGTAAGAGTAAAAGTATGAAAATATATAGGAATATATTTAGATAGAAATGTGGAGAAAAAAAGATGAAGGATCAAAACTCAAAAATCATATTTTGCAAAAATATGAAGGGGTTAAAGTTCATATTTAGAAAATATTACAAAAAATTACAAGATAATTTATTTTATTTTATTATTTTAATCTTATTTTTAATAAATAGACAAATACGTTTTATAATTTATTTTACCATTTGAAATAAATAAATAAATTAACCCCGAATCACCGACTCCATAAACTTCTCCATAGCAGCCACCGTCGATCCACCCTTTGCCACCGCCGCCGCCGCGGAGTGTTTCATCTCCGTTACCCGGCGTCTCACCTCTCTCCCGGTGTCCGAGTCCATCAGCTCCCTGACTCTCTTCTCCAGCTCAGCCGCCGTCACGAACCCATCCTTCGCCTCCTCCAGCGGCAGCGCCACCTTCATCTCCTCCACCATGAAAACCCGATTCATCCTCTGCTCCGCGTACAGCGGCCAACCAATCATCGGAACCCCAAACGACACCGCTTCCAGAAGCGAACACTGACCGCAGTGAGTCACGAAACCCCCCACCGATTCGTGACTTAGCACCTCCATCTGCGGCGCGTAACTCTTCAAAACCATTCCCCTATCTTTAGTTCTCTCCAAAAAACCCTCCGGCAGCAACGCCTCCAAGTCCGCCTCTTCACGCGCCGCCGCTCCCGGCGGATCACGCACCG